GCTAATGAAAGGAACCTCTTCAAAAATCTTACCACTTAAAACTCAGAAGGTAATATATTGACATTCAGCCCTGGCAAGGCAGTTAGTTATAATAATATTGAACACGGAGTGAGAGCTTCCTAGGCACTATGCAAAGTGCTTTAGAGGTAATGACCACACAATTTATTTTCCTCACTTTAGAGACCAGGAACTTACATAACAAGGGAAGTAGCTTGTCTAAACCCCAACAAATGGGAAATGACAGAGCTAGGATTTGAACCCAGGCCTGTACCTGTTTGCATCATGCTGTACCATTTCCACAGTTTAAAGCAGCAGAATCCATCAGAGAGTCTAAACCTTTCCAGGGGTCCCTTCCACTATCCACAGCACCTTTTTTCCCATATCAGGCCGAGGGAGAAATCCAGATTAGTGTTCTATAATCACCTTGGATTCTGAGCTCATCATTCTAGAATGATTGTTTCAAAGCTTAGCTGATGGCTGGATCCAACCATATCATTTTAGTCCTCATTCTTTGTGTATTCACATTTTTATATCTAAATACCATTTATTATACCTACGTTGTTACAGCTCTCCCTTGGGCTAGCAAAACACTCCTCTTAGATAATGTTCTCCTCTATCCTCAAGGCTTGTTTCTCCCTATTCTCCTTCATTGTTGTGCCATCTCCTTGGTAAGTGTTGAGATTTCTCTAACCTCGATGTCCCAGTAATCTCATGTATTGTCAGGGCTTTGTTTTCCACATTTGGGCTCCTCATTTTATATTTCAAACTGTTCTAAACTTCAAAATCATAGCTCCAGCTCTTCACCAGGACTGTTGGGCATCTCCACTTGTGTCTCTGATTCAACAGATCCCCACAGGAACTCATGCCTTTCTCTTCATCCACCACCCAACCTTGCTCCCAAAACTGATCCTTCCCTTAGAGTTCTCATTTCCTTTCATGGCATCACTGTCTCACCAATCGCACTCACCTGAAGCCTCAGACCCGTCTTGGACTCTTCTTTATTTCTCGTGCTTTCCCCTTACTTGTATCCCTAACACACGTGCATTGGATCACCAAATTCTTTCAATTTTACCTTCTAAATGTCCTGTAATCTGTTTCCACTTTGCTGTTTCCACCACCACAATGAAAGCCTTCGTCATCTCTCCTTTGGATTATTGCAATGGCCATTTGTTGCTCTCTCCTAGCTCAACTCCATCCTCTAAGGCCTTCAGTAAGTGACTTTTCTAAGACATGAATCTGACCATGCCCACCCCTGGTTATAAACCATCTGCAACTCTTGTTGACCTCTGGGGCACTATCCTAACTGCACAGCCTGGCATATAAGGCCCCTCACTATATTTCTAGTCTCATTCCTATCTACTTCTTGCCCCTTCTCCAGTCGTGTGATCTATGTGAACTGTGATCCCGACCAATGGAGTTACATGCCACATTCTCTCACACCAACGGTGAGCTCCTGAAGGGAAGTCCTTATCTTGCTTACTGCTCTTTTCAGATCCAAGTTCACTATTTATACGTGCACTGTTGGCTTCAGACTTTTTAAAGAAATGTGGTTCCAGGGATTTTAAGGCACTTTACAGTAATTCCTCATCCTTTCAACAACTCTGCAAGGTGGCATAGTACTACTGTTCCCATATAACAGGCAAAGAAGAAGATTCCAAGAAGCTGAGAAGCCTGATTACTAATAAGAAACTAGTAAGTGGGTCAGCCAAAATTTGAAGCCAGGTCAGGCTGACTCTAAAGCCTGCGTTTTAGCTGAGACCAGCCCTGCAAGTCTCACTGATGATATCTAACACCATAATTTCACCTTCAAGAGAACAACTGGGAAGCAATGTCATTGCTTTAGGCTCTCATAGGTGCAGCCCACAGGATGCCCAGAGGCAGGTCACTTTGGGAAGTGGCAAGTCCCATACTTTAGTTGAGCTTTCACTGCGTCCCAGCATCCCGTGAACAGAAGAGCATGGGTGCTCTATGAAGCCCTTTGAGGAGGGGGCCTAATATCTTAAGCAGCCCATCTCCAAGGAAGGGGAAAGTCTAGAAAGGAGACTGAACACAGCTTCTGACTTACTGGTCTAGATGGAATACTCAGAGCTTGTCTATCCTGGAGAAGTACAAGTCAAGCTCTGTCCTCCCGAGTCTGATTTTATTAAACAATTGATCAAATCCTACATATTGATTTCTGTTATCTAATGCTAACACAACACACCTATACTCAACTATAGCCAATGGGAAAATTGCTTCAATAATTACCCATTATGTAAAACATATGTACTAGCTCCTTTATTACCTTTACAATGTGGTCCCAAAAGCTCCAGCCTAAGAACCCCTGGATCAAGTGCAAGATGTATCTCTGCCAATAGCTGGTGTGTGGCTTTCTGCAAACCCATTTCTGTGTTTTCGTATTTTAAGCCATGGGGTATAGTAGTTGATCCATAAGCAGTCCCTTTGAATTCTAATATTCGGAGACTCTTCTTACTTTTAGGATGTTTCTCACTAGGTTAACTCTAAGGGAACCTAATCTACATGATTATTTTCATAAATGACTTTTAACATGGTAGTCAGGGATGACAGGTTGGAAGTTAATTCCAAGAAAAAAAAAAGGACTATCAATGCATTCGAACACATGCTAAAATACCCATGCCATTCAAACATAATTCAGGCCAGCCATTTAGGGAAAGTTTAAGATAATTCTGGCCTACATGAACATTATCTCATGGTCACGCATTCACATGTGTGAAAATGACTCTTGGACCTATTGAAATGAGTATTGAAATGGCATCAGGTGCAGGAAGCAATATAAATATGAACATTCAGGGTAATGAGACAAGCAGATATTATCGCTAGAACTAAGTGACAAGGAAGACACCCGATAGTGTTGTCATAGCTGACACATGCCTAGAGCAAACGGTTGCTAGGTTCTCAGCAAGTTCTGTTTACATGAGTGAGTTGAACCTCTCACGACATGACAGCTGAGCTCAGATCAAATGATCTATGACAGAGGTGCCCAATCAATGCCCACTGAATGAATATTATGTCAGAATACCCTTAAGAAGTAACATTATGCAAAAGTGAGGCATGGCCAAGGCTCAGTTTCCATCCCAAAGACGAACCGAGAATTCCAGAAGGATTATTAGAGAGGTTCCTTTTCCATCTTTGTGGTGTTCACAGTCACAAGAAAACATTCCCACCAAATCCCTTCCACGAAAACACATTATGGGAAAAGAATTTATATGCCAACATATTACTGATGATATTCCTGATCAAACAGGGGCCCACTGACCCAAAACGCAATCAAGAAGGAACATTCTTAAAGGAAGGAAAATCCTGGTTTGGCACAACCTACTGGCTTCACCTTTGAAACTCGGACAGCTGTATATAATATCGGTCTTACGTTAAACCCCATCTCTGGAGAAGCCCCAGATGCGGGAGGAGGAGGGAGCTCTAAAGAAGTTCTCGACACAGTGGGAATCCTCGGAGGTGCGCTCAGCCAGCAGAGGCTGCAGAGCAAGGCCAGTTACCAGCCCAGGGCTGCAACGTTTCCTCCGGGGGAAGCCGACTCACCTTCCCTCCTGGAGGTGGCCGCGGCTGCAGGCAGGAGGAGCGCCAGGCAGAGGCCGCAGCTCAGCCAGGGCGCAGGCATGGCCGGGGCCGCGCGTCCGTCCGCCGCTGAGGGGTCGCTGCGCGCGGCTCGCCGCTGGTAGCTTTCACTCTGCGCTCCGCTCTGCCTTCCCTCTCCTTGATCAGGTCGTTTTATCGACTCTTCTACCTGACTCAGTCCTGACAGGAAGAGAGCCTGTGTTTCAGGGTGTGACTCACCTGTGAATAAGGAGGACCCAGCCCTCTGGAGGCAGACAAACACACACGGCACACACCGCGCAGCAAAAGCGCTCACCCCAGCCGCCGGGCTCCCCCCTCTCGCCGCAAGAAGGTTGCACACCTGGCCCGGGCCAAGGGTGTGGTGCGGAGGCTGCGGCCCCGGGATCCTGCTGGAGGAATGTGCCACGTTCCCCACAGCCCTCCTTCTCTCCCGGGTGGTCCGCGGCCCGATTCACAGAGGTAGCGAGCCGGCGGCCTGCCGCTTCCTCAAACTGGGAGCCCCAGTCTCAAGTGCGCAGACTCAGAAACCACTCGGACCCTGATCAGCTCTGGTCTAAAAGACTGCAAGGAAAACAGGCCAGTCGGAGAGTCCTAACAGGGTGCCTTGCACCCTCTGGCCTACCCTTCACCACTCTGGGAAGCACAGCAGCCCTCCCCCCACCCCTCCACCCCCGCTCTGCTAACTCTTCTTTCCTTCCCTCCCCATCACCAGGCTGGGCCGAGGGCTCCTCTCCTGGGACCCCCTAACTTCCTGATCACCTGGGCTGTCAACTCATGAGCTCACCTGTTGACTGGCTGGCCTCCCTACGAAGGCTAGGCGTCACTCTCTATTCCTACTCTCTAGGGCAGTCGCTGGCTCACCGTCTGTGCTCAGTAAATGTTCTGTTGAATAGAATAAAGAGGAGGACTCAGATTTCATATTCCTTTTACAGCTTGGAGCGTTTTTCCCATACTGTTCTCTGTGGGCCCACAGAAAATGTTTGACAAGACTAACCGTGAGTGTCATCCAAGTCCACTGTGCTAAGTGAAGGGAGTGATAACCAGGAAACTACAAATCTTGCTGTATCCTACATCGTTTTTATCCCTAAGGAGGCTGGTGGAAATAATGTAGAGGCCTCTGTCAAACAGAAGGCTTTGGTTCCTACTAGAGACTTAAGAATTACCAGAGAGGAGGACGTCTGGGTGGCTCAGTGGGTTAAGCTCCCAACTCTTGATTTCAGCTCAGGTCATGACCTCCTGTGGGGTGGTGAGATGGAACCGGCTTTGGGCTCCACTCTCAACAGGGAGTCTGCCTGACCCTCTCCCTCTGCTCCTGCCCCTGCTTATGCGCTCTCTCTCTCTTTCTCTAAAATGAGTAAATAAAATCTTTTAAAAATTAATTAACTAAATAAAAATCACCAGAGGTTTATACGTACTCAGTATATATGCACAATGTGTCCAAAACAACTCCTCTCCTACTTTTCATCATCAAGGCCTGCAAAGGCTTCCAATAAATTACTGTTCACTGACTAAATGAATGAATGTTCTCTAGAGAGTTCTATAGAACATAAGGCAACAAACAATACAACATAGTACATGATTATGTGTCAAAAGGTGTAAGAATTTCAGTTTATGCACATAATTGAGAGCAGTATGGGCTGGCTGGGATAGCTAGGGAGGGTTTTGTACAAAACATGGGCCATGAACTAGGTGTTTGGGAATAATCAGGATCTGAATACAGCACCAAAGAACCACAGGGGGACAGTTTACTGCAAACTGGCTACCATCTACTCTCAAATCTCCAGCAACCAAAAAACGAGGAATAGAAAGGAAACTCCCATTTTTCTCATCCCAAGCTTCTACTCTTCTCTTCTACTCTGTTCAGGATTCAAACAAATAACATAATGATTCTTCTCTCTCAAAACGCATGGTGTCCAATTACTGCTACAGTTTCAGTTCCTGGAGACCAGGTATTTTATAATTTTCCCATCTAGTAACTGGTAGAGTTGTAGAGGCTAAAATCATGTCCCTGGGGTCCTGAGCCTGCACTTGTACCCATCAGTGTTGTGCAATCCTCCACAAACCTGCAAGAACAAGGAACAGAGCCCTGCAAAATAAAGTCTTGGATGTAAATTTCATTTTAGTGCAGATTATTATAGCTTATTGCATATATGCAAATATATATTTTTTTCACCTACCATCATTTTTGGATAGTGATAGGAATAAAAGTTATCACACATATAGTACCTACTATTTGTAACTGCTATTGTAAATCCTTTATACATAACAACACGTTAACCTTTGAAACAATATTACGGAATAGGTGTACTCTTAATTTCCCATTTTACAGATGAGAAAACAGAGGCATGGAATGGTCAAGTAACATGCTCAAAGTTGCACTTCTTAGTAAGTGGTGAAGCCAAGATTCAAAACTAGGCAATCTTGTTCCAGACTTTATGGGTCAGATGAAAAAGCCCCATAAAAAGGACAAATTCACAATACTGAATGAATTCGCTATGCAGCCAGTGGTTATTCATCAACATTCACAACAACGCAACCGGATTGTGGACTATTGGCCCGCATCGATATAGCCAAGTCACAGTGACTCTGAACAAGTATTTCCGATATTCCTAACATGTTAGCTTTGAAAGGCCCCCCAGAGGTCACCTGGACCTGGGGTAGAAAATCGGCAGCCGGGCCCTGGGCACCAGGCCAACCGGCAGCCTCTTTGATGTGAACGCTACACGTCAGTGTTTCTCCTTTCCTTCCCCTTCTCATTGCCTTCTTCCGGGTCTCTCCACACATCTCAACAACCCGTCCGGCTCAGGCTGGAGACGCCTGCTCTGGTTCAATCTCCTACCTTGCTCAGGGACAATATCAACCCCCTTTGCCAATTTGAGGATTTTTCTGTAGTGTTCTACTTGTCAAAAGTGAAGGTTCTTGAAGGTTCTTGAATTCCCAGGGCCAGATCCTGGCTTGACCTCTCTTCAAGGCAGTTTGTTTAGTTTTCTCTAAGCCTCAGTTTCTTCATCTGTAAAATGGGGGTAATGATAGAACAGTTACCTGGTAGGGATGCTGGGAAAATTAAATGCATTAATGATCTATCTCGTGCTCAGGGAAGTACCAGACCTATAATATGCACTATACAAGTTAGCTATAATAATAATAATAGTTGTTGTTGCTATTATTATCACTAAGCACCATCAGTTTTCCCTTACTATAATTACAAACAAATACCATATGAGAAAGATGGGGGGTTTTGCTTCAATCCTTCTACTAATTGACAATTCAATAGTAATTTCAAACTTCCGTGAAACTCTTGGTCTAACCCAGGTTCCTATCCAGACTGCCAACATTTACTTGGAAATTGTTAATTAATTTGTATTTTTGTTACATATCTTGAAATTTCCTTCACCTTTGGATCTTCCTGCGTAATGTTTTAAGATTTTTGCATTTAGAACTTCATTTTAATTAAGGGGTAGGAAGATCTTATATTTCAGGGAAAATGGAATGGTAAGATGGATTTAAAGAATTCTTACAATTAACTTCAGTGAACACATGCTTTTTGAAAAGCTAGTGAAAGTCTATTTGCTTTTCCATGTGACCCAAATAAATCTTTCTTTTCCAAATTCAGACAAAAATCATTCGGTACTACTCAGCAATAAAAAAAGAATGAACCGCTGACACATACAGAACATGGATGAATCTCAAGGCCCTGTGATAGGTGAACAAAGCCAGACAACAAAAGACCAAATTCCAAATAATTCCATTTATATGAATCCTAGAAAAGGTGAAACTACAAGGAAAGAACATACCAGTGGCTGGCAGGGTTAGGGGACTGAGCGCAGTGGGGCCTGAGGCTCATTTGGGGGGATGAAAGAAATATTTTGAAATACAATAATGGTCAAGAGCAATCAAATTTTAAAAAAGCAATTGAATTATACACTTAAAATAGGCAAATTTGATTATGTATAAATTATACCTCAATAAAACTGGTATAAAAAAATAAGAGAAAATCTCAAAAACTTGATATAAGTGAGATGCTATTGAGTTCAAATGTGCAAACCCAGACCCAGGACTAGAAACACACCACTGTCTGCACAGTTGTGGCAAAGTCAAGGCGGAGTCCAGCCCTAGCACCCCGCTGGTTCTCAGAAGCTCTAAAGAGCGCCAGGCAGAAACACGACCCAGGAATGGCAGGGGGACCCCTCTTGCTGGAAACCTCTCTGTTTGGGCAATTTATGAAAGGTAAGAGATGCCATTCTGAAATGTTTGCTTGGAGGGCACAAATTTCAACCCCCGGCTGGACATGTTGTTCTAGGAAGTGAGCATGTGGATTGTCCTCGTCTCCCCTCCCGCGCCCCCCCCCGCCCCCCCCAATGGCCATGTCCATCTAGAAGCCCTGGTATCAGTGGGGATGATGTTCATTCCACACAGTTCTCTGGTTGCAAAGCTGGGAAGGTGCTGGGGCATTTCCTGGGGGCGTGGCCGGGAAGCCTGAGGCCCTGGAAGTCCCCAGGTCCATTGTTTTATTTGCAACTCAGTCATCACCCAGGGGACTTTTCTTTTCACGGTGCTATGTAAATCCCTCCACGGAACTGTCATCTCTCCACCCCCAAACTCCCAAATAGAACTGCAAGTGACATGTTGATTTTTGCCTTGCGTTCCATCATTACCTTAGCTCACTTTCAGAAGGAATGTCTGGCATGTCACCCACTTTCAAACTCACTTATGATAAAAACTGAAGCACTGCCCGTTCACATGCCGGCAACAGATGGGACTGTGGGACTCGATTCCCTGCCCCGAATCTCCCCAGATAGTTCTAATGATGTCAGCATGTGCAGACAAATTTTAAATGTAAAATACAGCAATCAAGGGATAAAAAAAACCCAAAAAACAAAAAACACCCAACTCTCCTTTGTTCTTAATTGATAAAGGAAAATGTCCATAAATGGAAGTGGTTCAGTGTTCCCTGGGCCATCTGGGTAAATTCTCGAAGGTTGGCCAGACTCCAGAAAACAATGTTCTCTGAAGCAAGCACTCTGGCTGAAGTGGCAGGCTTCCATTTTATGCAGAAACATATATAGCATTCCCACAGTTCGCTTTCAGGGAGCCGGAGAAGCCAGGCCAAAGCTCAAGTAATGCCTTTTCCTTTTTAAGGGCATTACTTTTTTTCTTTTTTCTGTGGCTGCCTGGTGGTACACCTAGGTGGGGAATGTGCTGGGAAATGAACAGCTCCACGCAAAGCACGATTTCATTTGCATCTTTTTTTTTGGTGTAGTTATTGCAGACAGAAATATTCCAATCTAGCCTTTGTTTACCAATACGACAAATGGGGAGGAGCAGAGAGAAGGGGACACACGCTCAGAACATGTAAGAAATGACACGGTGAAAGATTCCGGGAACTTTAGATTGAGGGGTGTGTCAGCTGCTGTGCTCCCTTAGTCTGAAATGTGGGCACCCACCCATCTGTGAAATGTCTCTTAGATTAAATGCGCTGCCCACAGTTCCTCAGCCACACTAATCCTTGATCTATAGATATTCGGAGTTGAATGAGAGGTGAAGGAGCCCGCACAGTGGAAGTTCTCACCTGGGTTGCACTGGTGTGGGTCCAGGGCTGTAGACATGACAAGATAGGCTGGAAGGGAGAGGGGGCCACCCTGAGATCAGAGGTCCTCACCCACATGCCTTCCCAAAGGAAGAAATGTCCAGGAAACAGTGTTTCTAAACATGCTTCTTAATTTCAATCTGGAACTTTCCCACCTTTAAATTACAAAGTCTGAAAAACCCTATATCATTTAGAGTCGAATTCTTTGTCTTTAGATAGGAAACTTTGGACACAGTTTAAACATCTAATGTGGGGCACCTGGGTGGCGTAGTCAGTTAAGCAACTGGCTCTAGATTTAGGCTCAGGTTGTGATCTCAAGGTCGTGGGATTGAGCCCCGCATTGGGTTCCATGTTCAGTGGGAAGTTTGCCTGAGTTTCTCTCCCTCTACATCTCCCCCTCCTCCTGCTCTCTCTCTCTCAAATAAATAAACAAATCTTTAAAATAAAGCATAAACATCTAATAATAATTTTGACAACCAGGGTACTTGCAGTGAGGCTATACTGGATATTCTGCACATGCCCAGCTCCACACAGGGAGCCTTGCAGGGGGTTAGGAACTCAATCATCACCACCACCCTCTGCAGCAGGTGCTATTATTATCCTCATTTTGAGGTTACTCAGGCTCCCTCACAATCCATGCCAATACCGCTCTCTAGAGTAATTATTCAGCTACAAGATAAAAACAAATTAAGCCTCTCACTAAATAAACACACACTTCTCCACTTCAAAAAAAAAAAAGTTGAGTTGGATCTTTAAAAAAAAATAAAATGCCTAGTCCTTATAACATATACTAGATTCTGCAGGACTCCTCTCCTGCAGATCAGTAATAAACATTTATTAGGGGTGCATTTTCCTGTTCCCATTACCTTTTGCAATTTGTCGGTGAACAATGACTTCAGATTCTTACGCAACATCCTTTTACATCATCCAGCCAGGTCTTGATGCTTTCCTCTTGGTCTGATACCTTAATCCAGTAGAAGAGCTCTTTTATTAAGTAGCTTAGTTCTTAAACTCCTTACAATAATTGGAAATTATTTTCGGCCTCGTCTGAGTCTGAGTGGTCTGAAAGAGCACCAGAATTTAGTGGCTATCTCCAGGTTACACAGAAATCCCCAAACATTCCTGGGTGGGTCTTTTTCAGGAAGCCTGTGGATTGGATTCGACTTCGGTTATAAGGTGGAACTGTCAGACCATGGCAATTATGGAGAGAGCTACCAATAATCACTGAGAAGTCCAGAGACACTCCTCACTAGCCTAAAAATTTCCCACAGCCTCAATATGTCTGCTTAGATTCAGGAGGAGAATTAATGCACTGATTCAGATGACTTAAACCAAAATGACACATTTCCCTCAATTATCTGTTTATTTTAGGTGAATATACTTTATATATTATATATAATATACTGAGTTATTTAGACAATTGTTTCAAGGTTCTGCTGTTTATTATATGAATACACAGCAAAACAAGATTTAATTGCCATTGCTTTATCAAGCTGCTATGCCTTTACTACTTTCTTATCTCAGGGCCCTCTATTCATATAACCTTTGGAAGTAATTTAGAAAATCTCAGCCAAAGCAGAGTATGGCTACTTGGTTTGGCAGCAGAATTGTTTATGTAGAAACAGATACATTTTATGTGCCTTTGGTAAACTTAAAATGGATTATATCTTCACTAAAAATTCTACACATACGCGTGCAGACATGAATATATATTACTTGAGCTCTAGATAAAAAAATCTTTTGAATAGAATTGTTGAATCACTACATCATATGTTGAAACTAATATAATACTGTATGTTAACTATACTGGAATTAAAATTAACTACTTCATAAAAAATCTTTTGAGTAAAATTTTGGGACTTTTGTTGGTCGGTTTGCTTGTTAGGTTTTAATCTTATATTCAATATTTTCTAAGGAAAGGGCAATTCTAAATCTTCTGACTCTTCAGGGCCTGATAGAAAACCTGTCTTGAAGTCACTGTCCCAATGTTATCCGTAGACTAATTCTTACCTTTTGAAATTTTCTGAAGAATTCTTACTAACTTTATAAATTTATACTAATAAAAATTAACTTAATGAGCTTCCTTTCAGGACCAGATCTTGTCTAACCAGTCAAGCACAATGTTGATTTTCCCACTGGACCACAGACAGAGCCAAAAGAGTGATAACGTATCAAGTGTTGTGCTGATTCCAGTCAATGTCCCCTTACGCAGAACTATGCTGTATTCCACGACACTAACTTAAATGTTTAAGAAAACAATCCAAAATATCCGCAGATTTTCTTATTAACATATTATGGAATTTTTATCCATAAAGTTCACCAACTCTTTCTTTTAAATAGCTGTCTTTTCTTGATCTGCTATAGAATATGGACTTTCTATTTTCTTAAGAAGACCTCTTAATCATTCCTGGTTCTAATACTTTAGGATTTGCTAAACAAGAGTAGATTTCAACCATTCCCCAATCCCTTATGACTTTATAAGCTTGATCTGTATGTCCCTTTGCCTTTCTAGCAGAAAAATCCATTTTTAGACTCATCTAGTATCCTGCCCTGGTGATGATTTTGGTTGCTGTCTTTAGAATGTTTCCAAGCTTCCCCATGTATGTCTTGACCAAGAGAGACTAGGTTGTAAAACTTCTTATGTTTGGAAGTAGCTCAGCTTGCTCACTGGTGGCATACGGTTTTGGATGGAGGGCCCTGTGCTGGGCATCTTGTAGGGTTAGGCCCAGCCCAGAGAGGTCCAGCAGAGGAGATGTGCAGGGGTCAGGAAGAGTAGAGCACTGAAATCCCACACAGAACTTCTTTTGCCAAGCCATGCACACTAGTCTGCATGCATCCAGAGGAAGGAAATCTTTTCCTTACTTTGTCTACCCAGAAGGGCTCCTTTTAGCTATCAGCAGTAAATGAAAACCAAAGGATCAGTCTACATGAATTCTTGATTTTGTCCTTGATGTGAAGCTGGTAATTCAGATACCATCATTTAGTTATTCTTTTTTTTTTTTTTTAAGATTTATTTATTTATTTGAGAGAGTGAGCATGAGGAGGGTGGGAAGGGGAAAGGGAGAGGGAGAGGGAGAGAAACTCAAGCAGACTCCATGCTGAGCACGGAGCCTGACACAGAGCTCGATCCCACGACCCTGAGATCACAACCCGAGCCCAAACCGAGGGTGGGATGTTCAACTGACTGCGCCACCCAGGCACCCTAGCATTTAGTTATCCTAATTTGGATTATTTTTCCTTAAATATAATAATTAACACGAGTTTTCCACTGAATTTCACATTTTACCTTTCTGCTTATTCCAGTTCTTGCGAACTTTTCCAAAAAGTTTCTTTTCGCTGCACTAATTTGACATTTAGCACCAACCGCAGCGAAATACCTTCTGGAAGATTAAACCATGTATTATGTCCTCCAGGTAATTTACAATCATTTTAGAAAACATTGCTTACCACACCAATCTTTGAAGGATATTGCTCTTAACATGTTTTCCTCCATCCAAAAAAACCTGCCCATTCTTCTCTCCTAAGCAAGTTCCCTATCATAGCAAAATATGACCTCTGGTTCTAAGGTAATGAAACTTTAAAATAATTTCTGGTATGGAACTTTAGTAACTCTCTTGAACATCCACAAAAAACTACATGTGTCTATCTTGTCTTTAAACTCATTTACCCTCCCAAAGAGCCATCCTGGTGTGATCTGTTATTCCTTTTCCAGAGTAGCTTGCTCGCCCACCTTTACTTAAAGATTCTATCAGCTTGACTCCCTTCTCTGTGCTCCCTAAGGCAGTGCTACCCAGTGGAAATGTCTACAGATGTTCTATATTTGTGCTTCCTAATGAGATAGCCACTAACCATATGGGTCTACTGAGCATTTGAAATGAGCGCAAATGAGGAGTGAAAATTTTAATTTATTTAATTTTGTTTAAGTGTAAATAGCCACATGTGGTTTAGGGCTACCATATTGGGCAGTGCAGGTCCAAGGCCTTTTTATCTCTGTCTTATTTTATTTTTTAAAAGATTTTATTTATTTATTTGGCAGAGAGAGAGCACAAGCAGGGGAAGCAGCAGAGGGAGATGGAGAAGCAGGCTCCCCGATGTGCGGCTCGATCCCAGGACCCCGGGATCATGACCTGAGCCAAAGGCAGATGCTTAAACCTAGGCACCCATCTCTCCATTTTAAATGGACATCTCACCAAGCACCTCCTTCACTGTGGTCACTTGTAACTAAGTTAGTGAGTAGATAAAATTACTTCTGATGGGAAAAAATTTTTTTGAAGGTAGACACTTACGATTTATTGTTTGACTTTTACATTTTTTCCCAGCAAAAATTCTATCTTATGTGTTATCTAACATTTTCTGACCCTGCATTTCTATTGGCAAATATCATTTTTATATTAATAAAATCTTGTAAACTAGATGCCTGGAAACGGGATATAAGTTCCTTGCTCTGACTTTAAACTTCACCTTCTTATGCCAAAAATTTGGAAAGTTGCCATTGTTTTTTTTTTTTTTCATTTTCTTACTTATTGTATTCACTTTGCTATAGTTGAAGGGTATTCATGAGAAGCAAAATACTGAGCATTTGTTAAATGTAAAAAAAAAAAAAAGTATTTTAAATTGCTTTCCCAGAACATGCTTGAAATCTTACTCAGGTGTTGTAGTCACCTGCCAATGGAATTTATCTTCAAAAACTCTCATCGTAATGCAGATTTTGATTTTATGATTTGATCTTTTTAAAGAAAATAATATGACACAAGAAGAGGAAAGAAGTGCTTGTAATCTGTCTTTCCAGTGACCCTAAACTAAACTCTTAATATTAAAGTCTGACAATTTTATTTTATTGAGATAATTTTTATAGAGAATCCTTTATCACAATATTTTGCTGTGCTCATTCTTTTGCTTACTTGTTCAATGAATTTCTTTGAGTGTCTCCTCTGAGCCAGACATGGTGGTAGGCACTTGATAAATCATACAGCTCCACTCTACATAATCTCTGGGGAAAGGATAAGACAGGTGTTATGAAACACACTTCCTTAGGCATGAAGGGACCAAATGAAAAATATGATCGTGGAGTAGAGTTTCCTGGTACAACAAGCTGCCCTGGAAAAGAACAATGAATTAATCCCTTGGTTCTGTCATCAATGGCCATTCAACAACTTGTTACATCAGCTTAATGAAGAGTAGGAATTCATCAGTTTTGCTGTCTTGGTATTGCTGGCGATATTTAGGCTTGTCAGGGAATCTGCAAGCTCATGACATCGACAATTCCCATCTTTCTCAGAATAAAACCCAGTGTCCATATGGGGCCTCTAAGGTCATACACGATGTGCCCCATCCATCTCTGCTCTGACCACACGGCCCCTCCGCTGTTTCTCAAACAAGAAAGTATGCTCTGTCTCAGAGCCTGTCCCACCTGAGGGTGAAAATGACCATGATCAGGGGCGCCTGGGTGGCTCAGTCGGTTGATTGCCTGCCTTCGGCTCAGGTCATGATTCCAGGGTCTTGGGATCGGGTCCCGCGACAGGTTCCTTGCTCGGCGGAGAGCCTGCTTCTCCCTCTGCCTGCCGCTCCCCCAGCTTCTGCTTGCTTGCTCTCTCACAAATAAACATATAAAATATATTTAAAAAGGGGGCGCCTGGGTGGCTCAGTCGTTAAGCGTCTGCCTTCGGCTCAGGTCATGATCCCAGGGTCCTGGGATCGAGCCCCGCATCGGGCTCTCTGCTCCGCGGGAAGCCTGCTTCTCCCTCTTCCACTCCCCCTGCTTGTGTTCCCTCTCTCGCTGTGTCTCTCTCTCTGTCAGATAAATAAATAAATATATTTAAAAAATATATATATATATATAAAAAAAAAACAAAAAAGAAAAGAAAATGACCACAATCAGATGGCACCTCCCACCTCTGCCCACTCGGCGTCTATGCCTGAGTCTGCTTTGTGTGTCTTCTTAGCACTTCTCACCACCCCACGTCAGACATTCACGCTTATTATCTGTCTCTCCTTCCAGAACATAAACTTCAGCACAGCCATGACTCTGTTGTAACAAGGCCTAGAACCCTCACTGCCCGGCCCTTGGTACGCCCTCAGTACTATCTTTTTTAATGAATGAGTAATGCATGTTTAGTACTTATTTTTGCAAGACTGAATTCACTTACCTTTCTATACCTCAGTTTAAATATTAATGTGATGAGGGACATTATCTAATCTAAACTACCCCTTAACAATGTTAGGAAGATGACTAACTACATTAATACTATACAGATTGGACCTGCTTGGAAAAAAATACAATTCTGAAACTTAAGTTCTCTTGTTTTATAAAAGTAATTAGGTAGATCACTAAAGCCATAAATTCACACAACTAAGAGAGACTACAATGAATATAGAACAATGGTCTATAACTATAATAAGAATGGCAAAAGGAACATTAAACTTCTAAATGAGATGCTGTTTAAGAAAAATACTTATTTTTCATGTTACAAGTGGTTATTTATTATTGTTGTTTTTGATAAACTCTTTTCATTAAGGCCCAAGGTTCTAGATTATCTTCATTATTCTAGTTTTAGATGTGCATTTGAAAAGTACTTTCTTATGCTTGGAGCTTGAAGGTGCCGAAGGGAAGAGACCCGTGCTTAAGACCAAGGGTGTGAGTGGACACTTTGTGCTCAAGGTGTTTGGTGAAGGTCTTTGGTGACCTTGTCCAGGTCTTCCGTGACCTTGTCCAGGTCTTCGGTGCCTCTTACATCTATCTTCTTGGTCGAATCACAGAGAAAGTATCCTCCAACCCAGATATTCCATAAATTAAAGGTCATTTAATCCAACCTTCCCTGCCCCCTGGAAGACCCACACTCATCAACCTAGGCAATTAAAAAGAGCCATTTCATTTCCTATTTTTCACAATTATTTACAATGATGGAAAGGAAATTTTATAGAAACAGGTATCAACTCTTTTTAGCATTTGTAACCTTTGAAAGTCATAAACTTATTTTAAAATTTTCCATCAGATAGGATGCATTTAGCTGCAAGTAGTAGAAATCCCAACTCAAAGTGATTTTTACAATAAGCAAATTTATCGGCTCACATAATTAAAAATCCAGAGGTTGGAGGGGAAACAGGGTTAAATTATCCTATGGTCCAGTGATGCCATCAAGGATCCAAGTTCTATCTTTCTCTTCTGTCATTCAGAGTCCACTTCATCTGAAGACTGGTTCCCTTCATAGTCGTAGACTTGTTGCCAGTAACAATCAGGATTATTGGTCTCTCTCCCCAAGACTTCAAACAAAAATCTTTCCCCTTCCTGATTGGGCTGATTTAGGTCCTGTGCGTATCTCTCAATCAGTAACTATCACCAGGAAAATAGTTTATGCGGATTGGATTAAGCTTGGGTACCTAATCACTGGCAAGACGGGTGGGAAAACTATGATTTGCTTACGCTAGAAGTCAGCAAATTAGGGCTGTGGGCCAAATCCTACCCACCAGCTGTTTCTGGGAAGTTTTGTTAGAACACAAACTCTTCCCCTACATTTTATCCACGGCAACTCCTGCACCACAACAGAGTTCTGTGGTTGCTAACAGAGACCATAGGGTCCATCAATCATCAAGTATTTACAATCTGGCCTTTTAAGAGAAAGTTTGCCAACCCCTGGCTTGGGTCCACATGAACCCACTTTGGAGCTGACTCTAATCCCCTAAATCATGATGTTACAGGAGAGAAAGTTGGGCTCAACTGGACCAATATAAGGCCCTTACATGTAAACCTAGTCGGTTTTTTCCTCCCTGTTCTTTCCTGGGCAGAGCTGAAAAAGAAATGAACACACCAGCTTCAGAATGAAAGCCTTAGTTTTGGAAGGTCATTGACTTACCCTCATTCTTTTCTTCCAGATTGATTGGTATCAGTTCCTTACATTGATCTGTGTTCCAACCTTGGCGGTGTGTTTTGTTTCGTTTTTATGAATTGTCTGCTAGTTATTTGTTAATTCCGTGAAACCAGACTACTCAAACCTTCTGCCAGATCTTCAACCCACCAACAGTGGTTAGAGGAATTCCCCCAGGGTCCTGCTGCGCTCCCAGAAGAAATCTCCCTCAAATTGTTCAGCAATGCCTGGTCAGTCACAGGAAGAACCATTCCTGCGCATGCTCACATCACGGTTTTCCAGGTAAGCCATTTCCTGTCAAAACAACAATCTGATCTTTCTGATTATATATATATATATATAGCTTTTCTTGTTTACTTCTATTAGGATAAGAGCAACACAAGTCCACTGTGGAAACATTAGAAAACAGATAACCGAAGGGGAAAAAAAGAAACCTTGTCACCACACCATGCCCCAGGGAACTCATAAAACAAACAGCAATCTCCCCTCCAAGTGACCTAAACCAGCTTTGACTTTTCCAGCAGGAAGTCATGATGGAATATTTTACATTTAGCTCCCTATATTTATGAAGTTACTGAATGGGTCTATTCTTTGACTAGCCTTTCCAAGGGTCTTTACTAAATTGTGCACCTTATACCCACTTAAGGAAATGTCTGGGAAAGGGCAGAGTTTGAGAAGCTGCCATTTCAAATTACTCTCTCAAAGGCTTATGCACATCTTTTGCAAACATGAAAGAGAGCTACTTCTCTTCGTTTGGGCTGGCACATACAATTTCACCTTATTTTGTAAATAAAAGGGAGTCAATCTTTCTGAAATATAGGGTTGGGAAAGTATGCTCAGCTTCACAAATCCTCCTTTAGGCACACCTGTGGGTTTACTAGTGCTCATTATAGAAACCACTTGAAAATGCCCGAAGGTTGGATTGTTTCCAAAACATCAGATGGGTACCGTACTTCGGTTTAGGGCTAGAGTAGACTAGAGGATGGGATTCAGGCTCACTGCAAGTCCCTGTGGGGATCTGAGTGTGGGATCGGGGCCAGTGCTGTAATTAGAAACCAGGCATTACTTCAGAGAGTGGTGCTTTCCCACCCTGCTCATGGCACCTGCCCCGCCTCCAGTATTTCTCTACCAAGTCTACACAGTACAGCCAACACCATGGGTCGTCATAAAATTGGCCCTTCGTCGACTAAGGAGAATTCCTGTTGAAGGGAATAGGAGCCCCTGAATGCCTGGAAGAGAAGGGGTGAAGGAGACTGAGGAGTACACAAATGAGAGAGGTGCAAGAACACTGGGGCCCAGACAGTCTGGAGTTTTAATCCCAGATCCACCCTTCCAGGCAGAGTGATCTTGGGCCCTTCCATTCTCTAGGTGTCATTTTCTGCCTGGATAAAAGAATAATAACAACAGCCCCTGCTTACTTCATAGTGTTGGCTGCTGTGAAGGTAAAGGGCGATTAATGAGCTAAATACTTAGCACAGCACTAGGTTAGTATTAGTTCTTATCCGTATGAGGGGAAAGGGCCCAGAATGGGGAAGCTGGGATCCTGGGAACATACTTCTCTTCACAGCATAGTCTGAATGGTGGAGTCCATGTTTATAGGGTTCCAACTGCCCAGGACTGCCCAATTTGTGATGAGACTTTCTGCATCAGACTGTGTGAGAGCAGTGTGTAAGTAATTTTTTAATAGATTTTATTTTTAGAAAAGCTATAGATTTATAGAAAACTTAAATATAGAGTACAGAGGATTCCCATATACCCCATATTCCATTTCCCCGATCACATCTTACATTAGCATGGTGTATTTGCCACAATAAAGCAGTATTGACGTACCTTACAGATTTCCTTAGGTTTTTTTAATTTTAATTTTAATTTTTTTTACCTAATGTCCTTTTCCTATTCCAGGATCCCATCCAGGATACCACGTTCTACTTAGTTGTTGTGTCTCCTTTGGCTCCTCTTGGCTGTGACAATTTCTCAGACAGTCCCTGTTTTTTCATGACCTTGATAGTTTTGAGTGCTGGTCACATGTTTTGTAGAATGTCCCTCAGTTGGGATTTGTCTGATATTTTTCTCATGATGAGACTGGGGATATGGGTTTTGGGGAGGAAGACCACAGTGGTAAGTACCATTTTCATTTCATCCTATCAAGGGTACATACTATCAACATGACATCACTGTTGACATTGACCTTAGTCACCTGGCTGAGGCAGTTTTGCCAGGTTTCTCCACCATAAAGTTACCCTTTACCCCCTTTCCACACTATACTCTTCAGAAGTCACTCCCTGCTGCCCACAGCTTAGTGGGAGTAACCCTCCACCTCCTCGAGGGCAGAATAGCTACATAAATTGTTTGGACTTCTTCTCTATGGCAGATTTGTTTTTTCTCCTCAAGTAACTTTTCTAGGCTAATCTTTGCTTGAATGAATTGTTTAGTGTTTACAAAGCACCACCGAAAAATAGTCTAAAGCCAACTTCCCCCAAATTGGTTTCTTTAAAACTTACCACTTTCTATAATTAAGTATTAATATTCAGAGTGTTTTCAAGCTGGGCATGGAGGAAATATGAAAAAACAAGATTTCTAAAACCTGACAATCTTCT